CTGTAGCACTTGCAGCCGACTGATTTTGTGCACATAGCTGTGCATTTCGCAAAATTGCAAGGTAGCAGCCTTGGCGTTGTTAAGCGGTTTTCTGGTGTCCTTTTTGGTTGCCTGTGGTGGCCCAGAGCTTTCCTTTTTGGTTGACTTTGGTTGCCCATTGGTTGCCTTCAGTCACCCTTATGGTTGCCCAATAGGTGCCTTTTGTTGTCCCGTTTGTTATGGCTGCCATTTGGTTGCCCATTGGGTGCCCATTGGTTGGCTTTGGTTGCCGACTTGCTACCTTCCGTTGCCCCATTATGTTGCCTTCAGTTGCGTTTGAGTTGTTGGCGTTCTTGTAGGCAAGCCGTTGAAGTCACGCTGCCGTTGTCGCGGTGCAGGCTGCTACGCTGAAGTTGGAGCAAGTTGAGAAGGATTTGGAGGAGGCCGGGGCCACGGAATAACTTTCCCCAACAAACCTTGTCGGTCCCTGTTGTGGCACAGGGAGACCTTCCAAATGGGTACAGTAGCGGATTCTGAGACCCATGTTTTGGTCTCATTGCCACAAAGTTGGACCAACAATAGATGTTGGCTTGCCTTGGGATTGCCCTCCAGAGCACCACTCGTAGTTCTCGTTTGGTTCTTGAGAGTTCTCAGGGTCCCACACGTGCGTGCCTTCAGTGGTCTCACGGTGTAAACCGCACCTTCCAGAACACTTCATTTTGGTGCACCTTGAAGTGAGATGCTGAGATGCTCATCGAATGAACACTCCTCATGGTTTGTTCCGGGAGGCACAAGCCGGCTTGAGAGACCAAGAAGCGTTGGCGGCGGAGGAGGCGAATCTGCTGCAAGAGGCGGATGATCTGGGTGAATTTCCAACTTCCAAGGGATGTGCTGTGGTATTTCTTTCTCCATGATTTAGTCTATACAGGCAGATCAAACATTTGTATATGAGTGTACACAAAACTAAAGAACCGTTGTTTGTAAAACAAACTGGTACTTTATCACAACAGCATAATAGCCATCAGTCCATGAAACCATCAGACTGGCAAGGAGCCCGGCTCCCTTTCACACTCCCTGAGCCCGGCTCCCTGATGATATGGCTTTCCTCCCTTAAACCGATGGTTGAAAACACAGCGTTTCAAGGAGCACAATTGCTGGTCTTCATGACTCGGATGCTTGATGGGGACGTTGATGAGTCGACTCCGATCTCTTTTCCATCCATCTTGTTTTCCCCTTTCTGATCTTCTCTATGCCGTGCCAAAACTGTTGCAACAGGCGCAAGAAGAAACCACAAAGCTGAAAGAACAATTGATGAAGCTCGAGGTGCCTCACTGACATGTTCAACACTTGTTGTGGCGCAAAGGGTCCGCGCAGAATTGGCTGAATTGGCGTGCGAGGTCGACCGGATTGCGCTCGAGCAACAATTCCAAGAGGATGTGAAGAAGGCCACCGGTTCCAAATTTCGGAATTCTTGGGATTGTGCCATTTACTCTGAAACCATGGTACATACTTAATTTAGTTTGCACCTCTCAATCACACGCGACCCTTTTACCCTGAGCGCCTGGAAGAGAAATCAGCTTGATTGAGGTGGAATCGGAGTTCAAGAGCAAGATGTTTGCTGCCGAGGAGGAGGCTAAGCAAGCCAAGGCAGGGCTAAATGAATCAATTCTTGTTTGCACCTGTTTGCGGCGTGGTGGCGCAAACTGGCGTGCCGGCCGCTTCAGCCGGTTTGATTTCATGCACGCAAGGCCGGGCAAAGCAAGCTTGAGGGTCAAATATCAGCGTTGCGCAAGGAGGTGCCTGCACTAAAGCTTTTTGCGCCTTGCTCACGCTGTGTTCCTTGGGGCCAGATATTGCTGGTCAAGTGCAGATGATGCGACATAGGAGCTTCTGAGAGGCAGAGGAACGAGTTCACCTGCTGACCAATGACTTGAAGTCGGAGAAGGTGGACTCCACGTCAACTTTGGCGACCATCTTGTGAATGCTTTGGCCCTCCTCAAACAAATATGAATATTGTTATATATATATATACACATCTATTTGGAAAACACGTCCAGAATCGTTCAGATGTTGGGTCAACACATCCAAGATTGCGTCTTGAGGAGTTACGTGTGTCACTTGAGAAGCAGCTGGAAGA